ACCTGAGGGACCGCCTCCTGCCACATACCTCCCAAAGACCAAAAGATCTCACAGGTTGGGCCTCCTCCGGGTGCCGTTGGCTGGACAATGCCGGCTGGCAGCCCCCCGGGGGAGGGCCTTCTCTGTAGCTGCGCCGGCCCTGTGGAACGACCTACCCGTTGAGATCCGGACCCTTTCCACTCTCTCGGCCTTCCGAAAAGCCACCAAAACCTGGCTGTTCCGGCAGGCCTGGGGCTGTTGATCAATGTCCAGCCCCACCTAGACAGAATGGATGCTGTGTAATTTTAATAACTGTATTTTTATTCTTAATTTTTTTAATTTTTTTTTATCTTGTTTCTGTAAGCTGCCCAGAGTCTTATGGCAGCATACAAATTTATTAAATTTCAATTTTAATTTCAAATGATCAGAGGAAGAGCAATAGAGTCTGCAAGTGAATCCTTAAATTACAGGCTTTTTGTCTCCCTAGTCAGATATCCTATATAGCAGTCAGCCAGTTTTAACATATAGTTATTGGTAGAAGTATATGTTATATATATTGAAGTATACTGTAGAAGAGCCAAGATGGTGCAGTGGTTAGAGTGGAACAACTCAAACAAAAGATGGTGACGGTAGCGTCCGGGGAACCAGTTTGGGGGCTTGGTCAGCCTGGGTCACTGCTGGTTCTGCAACCCAGGCCAGCGTATCACTACCGGTTCAGCTGAACCGGTCCAAACTGATAGGAACCCACCTCTGGGTACTGCAGACTATTTCAGCTGACTGTTAGCTGCAGTTCAGCAGTTCAAATCTCACTAGCTCAAGGTTGACTCAGCCTTCCATCCTTCCAAGGTGAATAAACTGAGGACTCAGATTTTGGGGAGCAATATGCTGACTCTATAAACCGCCTAGAGAGGGCTGTAAAGCACTGAAGCAGTATATAAGTCTTCAGTGCTATTGTTAAGTGTTATTGCTACTGTAGAAGCATCTAGCTGATCTTGGATAATCTCAAATCTCATGGTGAGATTCACCTAGCAAAATAGT